AGAGTTAAAATGAATTCTGATTTAAGACTTTTCCTTTTCCCCTTAAAAAGAGAGGAGAGAGAGAGATATTAAAGCACTGCATCAAAAATCTCTATTAATTTTATTCTAAGTTTATTAGAATTTTAATTTGTAGCCTTAGAAGGCAGAAAGAGGAGGATAAGAATTGCCAATGAGGTTGTAGATCATAGAAGAATTAATGAAAGTATTAGCCCTGCACGGGAAATAAGACAGACTGTTTTTATGACAAAGCTCTGACCAGTTTGAAAGTTATGACGTTAGTACGTTCAGTAACAACTGATATAATTTTCCTAACCACAGCCACCATGCATGTGTGTGCTACATGGTAGATAACGGATTTGCGTAAGAAGGAGGGAGAGTTTACACATGCAAAAGGTTCACTGAATTTCCATCGTACGTTTTTGGCAGCTCTCATCAAAGAGAGCAAGTATGATTTCAAGAACTGTGAAACAAAGAATAGGGAGCTCGTTGGGTGAGTTATCTCAAGGGTAAGAGAAAAACCAACCAGTAAAATCCAGAGTTTGCCAGTCGCTTTAGTGCTGAAGGAGCCATGCTGTTGCCTGTAGACGACCAAGGAGAACATGGGCAATGTCCACGTGGATTGTCTTGGCCTGCTTCATTAGCAAGATATGGCAGTATAGCCCACGGACAAAGCGATAAAATTTGCTGACCCTCCAGCTTGTAATCGGGAAGCACCAGCACCTTTGGGTTCCACGAGCCCGCTGGCTGAGCTGACGGGCAGGAAGGGGAACCAGGGGAACCGCTTGTCAATCGTGTCAGCTAACGCCTGCCAGAGGTATGGCAGTTGCAAGGCCAGCTGGTGAGGTTGCTGTGCTGCTGACCCAGGCACCAGAGGCGGTCACACAGGCAGTAAACAGGCTCAGATTTTGCCTTCTCCGTATTCCTGGCTGTTTCTGGCATGTCCAACATATCAACAATTCTGCCAACTTCTACTGGAGATGCCGAAGCTCTGCTCTACTAAAGCAGGTAGTGTGTGCTTGAAGACACATTTGCAAAACTAAGCTTCCTTTAAAACACACTCCTTTTAGAGACTTCTAGCATTCATCTCTAGTGGCCAAAATCATTGCCAGGGCATAGCTAACACTAGATTTCCCCAGCCCCTACTCACATGCACTAATTAAAACACAAAAGAGAAACTTCAGCTATTTCAGAGGGCAGATTGCTTCAGAAACTGAGCTGGACAACCTTCCTAGCAAGCATTTTCTTGCCATGTTTTCCACGAGCCTAATTTCATAAAATATGATTTTTACTACAGCAAAAAAACCCCCAAAACGTAAAAATCCTGAATCCACAGCTGTATGCTCAAGTAGTCACTACATGTAAGGGTAACTAAGTAGACTCACAGAATCATAGCATGGTTTGTAAAGGTCACCTAGTCTAACCTCCCTGCATCTTCAACTACGTCAGGTTGCCCAGAGCCCCCTCCAACCTGACCTTGAATGTTTCCAGGGATGGCACATCTACCACCTCTCTGGGCAACCTGTGCCAGTGTTTCACCACCCTCATCGTAAACAATTTCTTCCTTCTATCTAGTCAGAATTGACCCTCTTTTAGCTGAAAACCATTACTCCTTGTCCTGTTGCAACAGGTCCTATTAAAAAGTCTCTCCTCAGAACTCAGCTATCACTGTTAAAAATGGCAATCAGTGAGTGTAGATGTTAAGCTAACAAAACAGCAAATTAAGCATAGCAGAGTAGGAGTATATTTATTAACTTGCTTGAAAAATGCTATCTTTTTAAAAGGTTTTTATTTCACCTGGATGAGTAGTCTTTCCTTTGCTTTTTTGCAAAATCAGCATGTTTCACCCCTTGTAAATGCAGCTTTCAAGACTGTTGAAGGCAAAGGTGTTACGAGGTCAGGGGGTGGAGCACTAACAGCAATCTGGCAATGGAAACACCAACCCACAGCGCTCTTCAACACCACTTGGAAAACGGGCTTCAGCTGGGGGTTCCTGTTCAGCTACCCACACCTCATTCTTCAGCTGTCTGATAGTCACAGAGACTACATCTTCCCCTCCCCTTCTCCCATTCCCAGTCTCTCCTTATCTGACAAAGCCATTATAAGGTGCCAAAGTCCATTTCTCTGGAAAAGAAGGCAACACACTAAGTGGAATCTCTTCTTGCCCATTTTCTTCCTGCTGTATCACAAGCCCATTGCTAACGTACCCTTCTGCAACGGGTCAAATTCTTTCAGCCATTTTTGTTGCAACAGAGGTCTTGTGCACGCGTATGTGGATGCGAGCCAGCCAGCTGTGCAGCATGGCTGGGAGCAGACCAGCCTCCTGCAACATCCCAGATGCACGAGGCGAAAAGTAAGCCAATCCTCAGCTACCATTTGTTGCATCTTCAGCCTTTCTGAGAAGGCTGAGGGATAGTCTGGTAAACTGCCTTGCCAGAACAGTGGGATTAGACAGCCATGAAGAGATCAAGTGTGTGTCCACCAAGGCAAAAAAATATGCCTGCTCTTATTTAAGTAGTTCACCGTGAGCTTCCTTCCACGTTTTTTTTCTTTTGTTTTTTTTTTTTTAACCTCTTCTGAAACATAGCTCTCCAAATGTCTTTCCCCTTGCGCTGTACAGAGAGGTTAACATCACTGTTGTAAGAATAAATTAGTGTTCCATTTGCACAAACCAGAGTCATACCAAAAATACTAGACACATTTTATGTTCTCCTTTATATACAGCTTACATTCTGGAAAAGCGTGATCCATGGCTCTGCAGTAAAATTACCATTACCTTAGCAGTAGGCCAACAGAGTTTGAAAATATTTTTGTCTCTTTTGCACTAAAGACCCATCAATTAACATTCAGACTGTCAGAGTTGGAGAAGACCAGTGGAACGTCTGTGTTGGTCAGAGGGAAATCTCTGGTCTGAGAACCACACGCAGCTTGCAAGTCTATTCCACACAGTCCTGTTATTACCCAGTGGCATTAAAAGGCTCTTTACAAATTGCTCAAAAATTCTCTCCACGAGAAAAATCCTGGTATCTCTCTTCCAGAGTCTTGTTTGGGCTGCAGCTAGAAACCCTCAGAGAGGCCTTCCTGAACATCCCTTTAAGATCGCTCTGCAAGCCAACTCATGGCTCGCTCTCAGGTTTTTCTGTTGATAGTCTACATCTTATGTGAAGAGAGGGACTTCTCGTATCACCTGTGCGGCACAAGGTCCTGACCTCTGAGGCCAAGTGCAGGAACTGGCTCTGAGAGGTTGCTATCAGATCAGGGTGACAAGCGATGCCCATTTCAAGTGACCCGACATTCAAAGCTTTGTAAATGACAACCACTGACCCCTGTCATGTTGGAAGTGATTTACCAAAGTCATATGCAGTTGCTCTCCAGTTCATTAAGCTTTTTAAGCCTTAAATTTCTGAAAACCCAATATTCATTTAAAATGAACACAACATCCTAACTCCAACAAAAGGGTCTGCTATAAACCCACATGTGTGTTCCTCTCCACATCCTGGTCTCCTTTCATATCACTGCTCATAGATGTTCTTTTCTCCCTTGACTTTTACACACTATTTTCGAAGGTATATTTTTTTTCTGCCCACTGTTATTCACCTCTCCAGACCATGACTTGGGATCCAGCAGGTTTTCCACATCTACAAAGCTTTTGCCCTGCTAAATTCTCAAGGACAAGGTACCCAAAGAGTTCAGAAAACTTAGAAAGCCTATAGCTACAGTGGACCAAGTATTATAGCAAAACCAGCTCCTGCATTGAATCTATGTTATATAAAAATCTGTATTTGATGTATTGAACATCTATATAACAACATGTGATATATAATATACCATAGAATAGAATAGTTCCAGTAGGAAAGGACCTCCAACAATCATCTAACCCACCTGCTTGACCACTTCAGGCCACTTTAACCAAAAGTTAAAGCATGTTATTAAGGGCGTTGTCCAAATGCTTCTTAAACACTGCCAGGCTTGGGGCATCAACCGCCTCTCTAGGGAGCCTGTTCCAGGGTTTGACCACCCTCTCGGTAAAGAAACGCTTCCCCATATCTAATCTTGTATTTATTTATATTACAATACTTATCTAAAACAGTTATATAATATTCTTACAGTGAATTTTTGGTATAAATCACTAATGTTTAATTACACCTTCTTAAGGTTTTCTTGTCTTTCCTCATGAATTGTAACAAGTTAGTTGAAGAGTACAACAAACTGCAAACTCTAGTGCATATCAAAACCCCCAAAAGGTTGGTGAAACAATAACCTATCAGAAATGCCTTCAACAGCTATTAGTAACATGAATTACAACTTGCAAAAGCACATTTTTTTCTCTATTTTCTATACACCTCCCTGGACATTTACTGCTGGCAACTGTCCGAGGCGAAACACTGGGCTGCAGGCACCTTTGATCCAGGCTTTGACACACAAATCATTCTGAGGTCTCTCTCTACAGATTTTGTTTATGACATGGGATAACTTGTATATTTTGAAACAATCATCACGATCCATAAATCAGGTACTAGTACCTAAAATATCATTTGATTAGATTTCATTTATTTCACAGTAATTTACATAAGAATTTGAAACCAACAATAGTCCCTTGAGGTTAAGAAAAGTTGGACCAATTGACCTAAGCTAAGAAGTAAAAATGACACATTTATTAACGTTGATGGAATCTCAGAAGCACAGACTCGCAAACCTGTACTTACCCTTTCAACTTGCAGCCACTTGAAGTGAAAGCAGCCTTTCCACAAAGGAAAGTGTCTGTGTGCTGCTGCCATCTAAGCAGGTCACCAGCAGTATCTCAGAGTTAAGCCTAACTTCACATATTCCCTTTGAAATCTTTTATCTATTCCTTCCTTTCAAGTAACCCTATTTACTCGGATCAAAACTTATTTGAAAATGAAATTATTTTTTAATGAAAAAAAACCCTTAGGATAAAGTTGCCCAGCATGAATTTCAGACCATAAATGCCATTAATTTTGAGCATATTGCTTAAAATTTACCTGAGCAGAGAAGTCGATTAGCTTTGGAAGCAACAATTTGCTTCCTTCATCACTCTTCAGGAAATCCAGCAAGCTCCCTGTGACAGCCGAGAAAGATTAAGTCAGTGCAGCTTATTACCAAAATAAAGGTCACACTACGCCCCCATTTTTCTGGACCACAAAATTTTTGCAGTGAAGTGTTTTGATGTATTTTCAAGTTCACTGCAGTAAGGCAGACTCCTTCCATGATATAACGACAGAAACATGCAAGTCAGCATGTCAGGCATCCCAGTTTTGCCATTTTCCTGGGTATAGCAAACTCCCATCAGACCATGCCACCGTCATCACACCACCGTTCAGTGGTGTGGGGTTTGGTAAGTACCCTGCTCTACAGAATATCAGGAGAGCTGTCTAGGAGAATCACACATATCAATCCTTTCCAAGTCATAAAGAATAAGCGGCTCAACACTTCTTTACAAAGTTATCAGCAGAATTGCTTGAAAACAGAACGAACCAAGAAAAACTACCACCCGAGACAATCTGAGAAGGAAACCTCACTTCTTTTGGGTAGTAATGCTCTAATAAGGGCTGTCCTTTTCTAGTAGTGCTGCCATCCTTGCAGGACCACTCATCACTCACCTTATTACGCACATATTTATCAATTCAAGGGCCACAGAAGGCAATTTCTGAGGTTTGTTTCAATTGCCTTGCTATGATACCAGACACAAAAGTTAGGTAGGGCCCAAAGGAACCTGAGCTATTTTGGGGGTTATGCTCTGCATCTGAAACAATTAAAAATGCTACATTTAAGAAAACTGTAAAAGTAGATTATTTCACAAATGCAGCAATGAAGCATCAAATTAAAGCCTCAGCCATCCTCTATGATAGGTGCTCCTTCACTTTATATCAGAGCATTCAAAAGGATAACACTAAAATCCCGAGTTTTCCTTGTTTTATTCCTCCCTTTGTAAAGACAGGGGACTAATTTTTGAGAAGCAGAAGAGTTTACTAAAACATTGCTTGCATATCCAATGTTGTTCTCACCTTTAGCCATGAATTCTGTTATAATATAAATAGGTTCTTCTTTGGTCACAACAGCATAAAGCCTAACAAGCTTATCATGCTGAAGTGTTTTCATGAGGTTGGCTTCCTCCAGAAAGGCTTGCACAGACATCGTTCCAGGCTTCAGAGTCTTCACAGCCACTTTCGTGCTATTGTGATAGTAACCTAAAAGGAGGGAATATGATCAGTGCGCATGAAGTCGCTGCGCCGCACAGCGCCCCGACTAGTAGGAATTTGTAAAGCAGGTGAGGTTGGATTCCAGTAATAGCTGAGCCTGAGAGCAAATGCCAAATGTAGCACAAATATTTACACTAGAATTCCATTTTATTTTGCGACTGATACAACATTGCATTGAAAAATTATCCATTCCCTATTTTTAGAAATAAGTTATCTAAAAAAAAATAAAGCAAGCAAATTATCTTACTTCATACCAAGTTCTCATTTATGCATAAAATATTCAAACAGTCAACAGGTGTTTTAATGAATGTCCACATAAATTGTCTTAGAATCTAATAGAGTCCATGGATTGCTTTCAAGATTCTGGAGCATCTTTAAATACCATGATTATAACCATTTTATGCATGCCAGGCTCATGCTTATAATCCTTTCTGTAACCCTCAGTACTCTGAGCATTACAGGAAAGTGCAGTCGAATGAGCGTTCTCATGACCAACAAAGATACGCTGCCAGGACTGCAGTCCTTCAGTGTTCAGAGCAAGATTTAAAACGTGATAACTTCTTATCACATAGCCCATGCCAAGAGTGGAAGAGACTGTAGCTGTTTCATTTCTTTGCTTATCAAACCTTCTAGTGTGATATTCTAATTATATAAAAAGCAATTATCAGTAAAGAGAAAAGCCATGAATTATTTTCTGCTTTAATGGTTTCTAAACATTAAATAAATGTTAAAATAGCATTAAAAAAACAATAGAGTAGCAAGCACTGATCCTAAAGTTTACCTTGTAAAGTAATTTAATTTGAAAAAGAAAGGAGGGGAGAGACAGAAAGAGAGAGAAAGAGAGAAAGGGGGACATAAATACAACTTCTTCATAACATTTTGGATTTACAGAATGCTTCAGTAATATCAAACCCCAGCCTTTTGTCCCCCACCATACCTATTTCAACATTGCAAAAATATTTCTCCGAGGAGGCAAAACTTTCATGACTCAATGAAACAGCCTCATTTCCTTATTCAGCAACAATCCAAACAGTATTACCACAATGGATAAACCTCTAAATCGGAGTCCACAATTTCCTTATACTATTTATCATCTTAACATAAGAAATCAGTGGCAAAGCAAGGAACTAATTTCCAGATCTTAAGTGATTGCTCTAACTACTGTGTCTTCCATCACTTTTCTTAAAGAAGGATCATCACCTGAGAAAAGTCACTATGTCTATCACAAACTATTCACCTCCATGATTATTAAATATGGTTTTCCAAACATGGTCAGGTCAAAGAATAACAATGATATGTCTCTGGATGATCTAATAATAAGAAATGACAACTACAGGTCAAATTCTGCTGTTAAAGCTCAGGTATACAATTTATATCCATCAGAAAAACAGATGCTAAATACATCCCTTTCTTCTTAAGAAGAAGAAAGCTTATTTGTATCATTTCTGCTATTCTATCACATACCATAAAGCAGAGCACGAGTACCACTCCCAATTTGTTGAATACTCTACTGAACATACTAATTAATATCACTATTTCGGTGAAGCAATTGTGACCAACACACTTAGCATTAACTATGTAACAGTATTTTACATTCACTAAAGAGATCCATCAAGACAGGGTTCTACTTACAGAAAGTTTACGTTACTACAACACCGGAGCGATACTGATCTGAATGATTTCTGCTGGAAAAAAGTCTACCCTGACCTTCTGGTGGTAACACACACAGCAAATTAGCTGAAGAGAGAAGCAGAGAGATTTGATCCCGATCTCTCTCAAGTTCATTTATTTCATCAGGTATTGGGAGAAATGGGACACCAAAACACTGAGGAAAGTTTGCCCTGAACTCTATGAGCACACACAATGGCGTCTGTAAAAAATGGACCCTTGACAGCTTGGCAAAACTGGAATTTAAACCCAGTCTTAGCTCAATTTGGGCCGAAGACCACACCAGAACTGAACCCTCACAGAGCATGGGTCCCTACCTCTCAGCTCAGCAGATGCCACCTCATCGTCTGGGAGAAAGCTCCCGTCATCTGTGAGCCCGAAGTAGCAGAGTAAGAACATGGTGCCCCTGAAGGGGAGGATTACATTAGGATATGAGGTGCGAGAGACCTGGAGGAGGCAGCATCTTTTAGTATGCAACTGTACCATCCCATCTTAACGAAGTCCTAGTCCTCACGTCAGGTCACTTATCATTACCATGAGAACCTCCATGCTAGTTTCCATAAAGACCGTCTGCTTTGCGGGCACACTCTCACTGCACAGGTAAGAAACTGCAGCCTTTGCGCAGGCAGAGGGAAAACTGGTGACCTCAAAGCATTTCAGCGAAGCAACAGCAAATTTGATGTTCAACCTCCATCACAGAAGGATTCCAGTGATGCACAGGCAGCTGTGGGCAGGGGTGGCTACAGCACTGCATCACCCTCGCTTCGTACGGTACCTGGGGCTCCGAATCCTTCACTGATGTCTGCCTTGGCTGAACTGAACCTAGCTCTGGGTGTAAACCCAGTGCTTCCTGTGTCACGGTACTCCTTGCCACATAACATGAATGAACATATAGGCAGTTTGCGGCCTAAACATGAATTTTAAAACATAGGTAAGCAATGAAATGCTTGCTTACATCTAGAACACCTGACATAAAATTCAGATTCTTTGCAGCTAACATTCAGCTCATGTACGTACTGTAAAAAAGTATTTGTAATACTGATGAGATGTGCCAGCAAGTTTTCTTGGTTCATTTTAAATGGCTTTGATTTTTCTAACAGCTGCAGAAGAAAACACACCTCCAAAACACGTATTATGTATATTCTAATTTAGGGGATACCGAATGAGACAATCTTTTTCACCTGAGACGCAAGCAAAATGCGCCTCATTAATAAAATACACTATAATGGCTCCATTTGGCTTGTTAACTTTTCTCTTCGCCCTGCTGGAGAATTCTCTTCATGGATTATTAATACCCCAGAGCATTATGGTTCACATCGTATCAGTGCACACCAGAAGCAAAAATGCATAAAACATAGCCCCTGTTCTTGCAGTGCTACTCTGGTTCATCACTAAAGAAGCTGCCCAGATGCACTGAACCCCACGGTCAAAAACCGCAAGCAACAGTACGTAAGTCTGAGGAACGGCATGACGTCTTACAGAGAGCGCCCTGTTCTTCTCTATATGCTAGAGTAGACTCCTCAAAAAATTGTTAGTGTTTCAGGTATTTATTTTGGAGTTGATTATTTTGACATAGTAGCTTGGACAGCCAAGGTGCCACCAATTTCTTGCATTGGCTTAATGACTGAGCCTACCATTTCTGACCAGATCTCCAGGACTGAAGATGAACTACTTTGTGAACAAGGCTACAAGATGCAGCTTTCTCCTTCCTCTGCTTTCACAGTACTTCCCTGCAAGGTTATACTGGGGAGCAACTTGTTTGAGCTACAGAGGTATGACACTGTTAGAAGCCAGATAATGTCTCAGGCTGTTACGATTGCAGGAGGTACAGTATTTCTGAGATGCTCACTGGGGAAGAGACTAAGGAACAGCAGCTTCTCTGCATCCTATTGCACATCAGCACATCACTCCTCCTTCACCAGCTACAGCCATCTCTCAGCTGAAAAGCAGAGGAATGCAACAGTAGCTCCATCTCTAGCTCATCTCCATACGGCCCATCACATGTGAAGGCAGCAAGCACAGGCTGCAGCTTTCTAACTGCTTCCATGGTGCAGGGCATAAAATGTGAACCCAACTCTGCCATGCTGGTTTGTCTCATCTATCATGTCAGCACAGCTGATGCCCAAAACACACACATAAATGCTAACTTGGTAGACTAAAACCAGAAACTCTTTACAAAATGTATACAATTACACATAGCTGTAACGAAGAAAGAAATTAAATGCGCTTGAAGTGACAAAACTGGGAAATTGATGGTCCTTTATAGCAAGTGTTCTCCGTGTAAAAGAAACACTTTGGAGTTGGAGGAGATTCACCTGCCCGCTTCGTAAGTGACAAAGATTCTCTGCACAGGTCGCACAGGAGCACAGCCCAGTGCTTGGGGCATGTGGGGGTCTGATTTTTGTTCCTAGGGTTTTCTTAGTCCTCCCATAACATAAGCTAACTTCCTCCAAAATGTGCAAGAGGAAGATGTCAACTTGGAAGCCCAAAGTGTACTTGTGGACAAACCAGAAAGAAAAGACTATAAAAGATATGCTGGCTTATCTTCACATTGCAGTAACAGTATTATCTCTGTCTTCCCATATATCACAGAATCACAGATGGGCTGAGGTTGGAAGGGACCTCTGAAGGGCACCTGGTCCAACCCCCTGATCAAGCAGGGCCCCCTAGAGCTGGCTGTCCAGGACTGTGTCCAGTGGCTTTTGAATATCTCCAAGGACGGAGACTCCACAACCTTTCTGGGCAATCTGTGCCCAGTGCTTGGTCACTCACACAGTGAAAAAGGGTTTCCTGATGTTCAGAGGGAACCTCCTGTGTTTCAGTTTGTGCCCGTTGCCTCTGGTCCTGGCACTGGGCACCACTGAAAAGCGCCTGACTGTCCTCTTTGTATCCTCCCTTCAAGTGTTTATATACATTGATGAGATCCCCCTGAGCCTTCTCCTCTCCAGACTGAACAGTCCCAGCTATTGGAGCCTTTCCTCACAGGAGAGATGCTCCAGTCCCTTAATCATCTTTGTGGCCCTTTGCTGGACTCTCTCCAGTAGCTCTGTATCCCTCTTCACTGGGGAACCCAGCTCCTCCGAATGGGACACTGTTCCCTCTGAAACCACAATTCTAAGTACCCCTTATCAAGAGGAAATTTATTTATTAATTAAACCATGGAATACTATTTCTCTCTAATTCACGCTATGGCTGAAAAATAATTTTGTCCTATACGAGGGGAGAGGTAACAACCAGCTCTCTCATCAGGAGGGCATAACAACAAGGTTATTTCTCCGTACCTCTACATAACTCCGGACGCCCCTGGTTGATCATGCCAATACGCAGCGTTTGTTGACACCCTGCACTGCACCGCTGACCTAATACGTCTTTTCCAGCTTGAACTTCTTTGGTTCTAAGATTAACCACCCTCCTGATTCGAGAGGGCCTGCGCCATGCAAATCAGCTTCTCTCGCTTCAGAAAGAAAGTGGAGAAGCGGAAACACGGCGATCGCTTTCACAGTACATTAACTTCTCTCACAGCGCGGCAATTCAGATGCAGGGGTTAGGCCCGATTTAGATGTTAAAATAATGACACAAACAAGAGGAAACATCTTGAACCAGAAACACCCTTTTAAAGTTTTACGCCTTTGCGTGTGCCTGTGTGCAGAAGTAGTCACTTCCCAAAATGATCTACATTTTCAAGCAGGTGACTACCTTCTGCCACAAAGTCTTTCACAGCATTTCAGTGTCAGTTAAACATTTCTGGTTTATTAGACGGAAAAAACCTGCACAATGGCTGATGCTTGTCTTCACTAGTATGTAAATTGTCACTCATGTATATCGTAGCTAGAGGGTTTCTTAAGCCTTTGCTTGTGAAGGCAAATAAAAGGCTGAATTTTGCTACATTATATTATAAAGATGGGCTGCTTGCATTTTTTACACGATTTGTATCAAAAGACAGCACCTATGACTGAATTAAGAGTTTTCTGATTGACACCGTAGTTGTGTGTGGAATTTGCCACTCAAACAGCACCACTCTGCACTTTACTTTTCTAAATGAGAGCATCTCTTCAAGGCAACGACATTGCTGTTAGCCTGCCACACTCCCCCACGTCATCCGAGACCCCTTCATAGCTTTGTGTCTTCTAATTAGTTTTGGGAGACACTTTTAAGTTGCTCAGAAATGCCCTGCCTATAGAATCTTGGAAAAAAAACCCAACAAACCAAATCAACAAACAAACCAAAAATGTTCCATTATTATAATAACAATTTTATTACTATGTAAATATAACCTCCTAAAAGGAGATTCAGGGAAGGGCTGAGACAATGATCTGGCCTGAAAAAGCACCATAATGAAGGCTTTGGGAGAAAGGCATAGTTTACCTCAAATAAGATGGTAAACAGTACCCAGTGTATAAGTAACGAATAGCACACAGAACGTGCAATATGGAACCCAAAACAATACTCAGATCCCCGAACAGACAGCATTTCAAAAGCAAAGGGGATTAAATATTTTTGCAGAATGTGATCAGAGAGTCATCACAGCCCCTTGCCACAGGAAGTCACTGAGGCTGGGAAAATAAGATTGTTTATAAGCAAATAAAGCTAATTAAGGTTATAATAATTAATGCTATAATTTTTTTGTAGGATATATATCAACATTTACAAGTTTTAAGTCTTATGACACTTTCATTATTGGGGGCCTGCATGATAGTTCAAGGCAGGGGGTGATCAATCTCTAATCCTCTTACTACCTAAGTCACCTACTTTCTCAGCGGCAATCTGGCAGGCAATAATCTTGAATTAAGTGTCCCGGTTTTTCACCCAGTATGGCAGTCCCATGCATTATATTGCAGTCTCTTCTTTACCAAGAGACAACGAAAACTCTACACATAATTCACTAAAAGACATGATTTCTTTCTATTTCAGGTTCTTTACCGCTTTCTGATTTGAAACAAAGTTCTGAGATGCCCACTGATTTTGAGACAGGAGTCACATTTTACTTAATATAACATTCAACTTCCCGTCCAAAACACAACCAACCCCCCCTCTATTGTCTTCAACCCTCTAAATTACAGTGCTTAACTCACTTTTTTTCCCTTTGAAAGACACAAAAGGACTTGTTCCATGATACCAGATATCTTCCCCCTCACAAATACTCTCTCCTCACAAGAAGGTATGTTCTGAGCCTGGCTGTGCTGTTTTACAGGGTTATCAGACCAGGTTTGTGCCCACTACTATTCTGAATGACTCAGAAATGACACTTCTTTCAGCAGCTTTAAATACTATTTCCAACAGGATAAACTTACCCATCCAGACTTCTCCAAATTGACCAGCTCCAAGTTTCTTCACTAATTTAATCGATTCCCGTGGAATTTCCCATGCATCTTTATCCCATGGCTTTTGAGGCTTGGGACTAATACAAGCCTTTTCCAACTTTCTGCATAAGCCATCTGATTGCTCTGGTTTTCAAAAGAAAAAACGAAATACAAAATCTGTTACACTTCTGTGCTTTGCAACTTGAGACACACGTTACTTAATTGCAGGTGGGCCCTAACCAGCTCAAAATCATTTTCAAAATAATCAGGTGTTTTGATGAAAATGTAACCTTTCTGGTGATTTCACGTAACTTTAAGCACCTCTGAACTGAGAGTTGGTACTCAAAGACAAATACAATACAGAAGTGTCACATGCATCTGGTTACGATCAGAGTATTAAGGTTTTTTTAATACAATTTGTACCAACTAAATCAGATATAAGATCTGTTTACTGTCAGTATGTTGATGAAGATGCACACTGGAGTCAGGCTTGGAACCTGTATTCTGAATTTGTCATTAAATTTTCTTGTAGCATTGTTTCAAATAAATGTGCATCCAAGCAGAAGTAGGTCAGCATTTTTTTTTTCCTGCAGACACTGACCAGCTATAACTTTAACACAAATGTAGAATAATTCTTAGGTTTTCCAGCTGTGCCAAAGAATTATCACACATGTCCAACAACTCAGAGAAATCTCATGGCCAAGTCCTCAGTGTGGCTTTGAAAAATCACTGTGTGATTTTCTGTCCTACGTTTTTTGTCTTCTCTGTCTTCCCAGTTACAAGACTGAAAAATGCATATTTTGGAGCTACCCACCAGCAGGGTTTACAGAATGAAAAGTCACTTTTGTAGCTAAAACATAGGCAGAAACTTGTCCCTTGCCCCCTCTCGCCCCTCCCCCCCCTCGCTTTTTTAAAACAATAAATGTATACATTCTATGTGGGTGAAATTTTCTTTCTTTTAAGTCAATGGACTTTTACTTCCTTCAAAATGCCATTCACAAACAAACAAACAAACAAACAATTTCGATGGAAAAATAGAAATAATTCCATGCTTAATACTGCAAGAAGACATTCACAAGTCTACACATACTTTTGCTAATTGTGAATACAAATGTACTTTCAAATACAGAATTTATTTATTTACAACACAATTCTTACTGTAGTTTCCATCATCATCACTTTGATGAGGTGTTCTGTAAAGCTATTCTTTATTTCACAATGGTATGCCACAGAGCAAAGCAGCATTAGGTCTGATTATGATAACAATGTTACTTGGGTTCCAACCAGTTTTACTTTATGTTTGATAACATGCATGCCTGCGTTATTTAGTGGGGGGAAAATAAAAAAAAAAAGATGAAAAAGTTTGAAACAAAACAAGAAAGCATTTCTTTTCCTTCACAGGAAATAATGGCTGTATGCTCTTAAGTAATCCACTAACTGATTTAACTTACTTTGATAATGTTTTATCATATCATTGATGTTGGGAAAAGTTATTCTTGGAGAGATGTAAAATCCTCCATTGTCTAGACTTCTAATTTTGTAGTGCTTAATAACATCGCCATGCTGTGGGTCATAGTCTCTTATGGAGAGAGAATAGCTGCCTGTGGATAAAGAAAGAATGATCATTAACAGATAGCAAAAATCTACAGTGTCCACACATATACAGTTGAACCTAACAAAATCACCTTTTCGTCTGTTTTTCTTTTTACTCCCTTATTTCCTCAAAAAGCATTTTGCAATCAACAAGAGGAAGTTAGCCAATAGCCGGTCCTGAACTGGTCACCAAAATGCTTACAGTCACACTTTCTTTTTCAATCTTACTCAACAAAGTTGGGAGTTCCATAAGCCGGGGAGCTCCACGTCCAACGCCCACTTCTGCAGAAAGTCCCCCCATCTTGAGTGGAACCGGCGGGGAAAGCAGGGCCAGGTTGTCACACTCCTCAAGCAGAAACTGGAACTCAGGGATCAGCGTTTCGGAAAAGGAACACGCTGGATATCATGGGCCAACTAGCAAAAGGATATCATGGGCCAACTAGCAAAAGGATAGCTTGGAGATGGCTTAAGACACACAGGAGGGCAGTCCCAGGGAGCCTAACCTTGCCTGGGATTTAAGCTAGGACAGCAGAGCATCTATGCTAAACTACAGAGCTCTTCATTTCTTCTACTCGTACAATTCTTGTTGTCCCCTTTCAAAGGATAAGAAACCACCTCACCCCCTTCTCTCTCCCCACACATAGATCCAGTGACAGAAGGGGATAGAAAGAAATATTTTGGGGGTGCTTTGCCTTACTCTCAGCAGCCTATGTTGAATTTAGGAGTCTTCCTCTGAGAACTTCATTTTGGAGTCTTCATTTGAAAGCACAGAAACAATGATATGGGCCCATTACAGAGAGCTACCTAATGATGAATCTGCAGTGTTAGGGCCAGAAAAACCACCCCTGTGGAGAGGACAGGCATACAATCTACTGAAGGGATTCATGCATCTTTCTCTGGAGGATGCGGTGTTAGCGTATCCAACTGGAGAATCCAGCCAGGCTGCTGTCAGGGTCCAGATGCTGGGCCAGAACCTCCTACGCTTTTCTGAAAGTCCCAGCCAAGATTCTGGAGACTTCACTAAGCTTTTCAGTACAAAGAGCTCTGTCTACAGCAGAAACCTTTACCAAAACGCTTTTGGAAAAAAAACACACTACAGTGCAGAAGTGTAAACCCCTCATTATGCACTAACTACATTTAAAAACTTATAGTAAAGGATACAGACCCAACAATGGAAGAATATAAAATGCAGCATCTACTGTTTACAATGAAAAGTGTCCTTCAATAAAGGAATCACAAAGATCTCTCCATTCGTTCCTGCTTCTTGTCAGTGTTATCACACACACACGTTTTCTTTCCTGTCTCACCTTTGGGTGCTAACCTGTAACTCTCTTCTCTCTTTTCCTGGTGTTTTTCTCATCCTTCTCACTCCTTCAGTACTGCAGAAAATTCACACAATAGGATACACTACGACTACTCCACACCCAGTGTCACTTGATGCCAATTTTGGTGAAGACAGACTGTATGTTTTTAACTCTACTCTCCATTCCAAAGTAACCCACCCCACAGCCTACCTTTTAATGTTTCACTTTCCCTGATAAGGAAAGCTCCAGGACCATTTCCAGGAGCCAGGAGTTGTCTTTCAGCATCTTTTCGGGTTATGTCTTTGAAGAACCATCTGAAAAATATTTCAAAGAGTGAGAACCCTTCCTTTCCCCCACCCACAAAGGATACAGCAGCAGGGTGAAGAAGTACTTTTCCAGTATTTAGAGCCCAGGAGAACTTACTCTTCTGTTTCCAAGGTGTTTACTTTTGCTACGTAGTTGCTGGGAATGAAGCCTTCCTTCCTTGTCGTGAGAGATTTTGCTCTCCACCATTCCCCCAGCCTGAAAAACAGAAACAGCAGTAGTATTCACAGAAAAGGGAAATGATGAAGTGTTATCTGGGTTCTACTGTGCTAAGAGCTTTGCCCGCGCTGGAGAGAGAAGCAGCATCTCTTCTCTGAACTCAAGCCACCTTAGAAGCCATTGACTCCACCAGATCAATGTTTGGTCGCTGTTACCAAGGGCAGCTGCCAAGTCCAACAACAGCTCCACGTGCATTTGTGTTTTCACATATCAGGGAGCTCTCTTACCATTAATACACTCATGTTATGAGTAGGATATCAAAAAATTATAAAAGGATTTAGATGACCCCAAAGAAAAACTACGATACAATCAGTACTGTCGTACTTACTCCTCTATAACTTTCAATTTTTCTCCTTTTTTGAAGGACAAGTCATCTTCATGAATGCCATCATAGGGATACAAAGCTACCACAATGACTCCATGCTCCTCTGCTTCTACAAAGGTAGAAAGCCAAAGGCACGTTGGCATTATTTCGCAGGCTGACACGGGCATAGCACACAGTGGTAAGATTCCTATGAAAACGTACCTTCACTGACAAACCTCTGTCCTGGTAAGAGCTGTGCTTCTGGATTTGCCTACAATAAAATATGTCTTTAATTAAGCAGTTTTAGATCTTTGTGACAACCTTACATAACAATTACACATTATTCAGTTGCTTTGGTATCATCTTATATGTCTTAAATTAAAAGGAAATGCTCCAATCTTTTCCCACCATTCCTCAAAAGGTAAAAATATAATAAGTCCCCGCTAGAGTTTGAATTGAGCAGCTCAGACCTCGGGAAGGGGTGACACAAGCTGTGGGGAGGACGTTCACAGCATCGTTACTTCTGCTGAAGAGGCTTTAAAGGCAGAGCACTTTGACAGGACAGTTATTAACATGTAGCTGTCGTGCTAAAGAACTATAACCACAGTTATGTGGCTAAGATTGTGCAAGACAAAAAAAAAGCAATTAAAAAAAAAGTAAATGGTAATTCATGATGTGTGTAGGTTGATCGAGAGCACACTGTGAGCTGGTGAGAGGGGAGGGGAGGGAAGGGTGTCCCTCGTGCTGGCGGAGAGCATGGCTCCTGTAGTAAGGGCAGTCAGGATGTACGGTTTCCTCAGCACAGCAGAGAGGGCGCGGAAAAAAGGTACCGGTCACTCTGCAAAATAGCAAACCCACTTGGTACCCACCGGGATTCCCCTTTTCCCAGCGCCCTTCCTTTCTAAGGCCAGGTAGCACACACGGCACCGCCGCTCGGCTGTCCCTCCTGCGGCACAGCGCTGCTCCCTGCGCCCTCCGCTCCCCTCCCAACGTCAAGCAGTGGCCTTTAGTGAGCAGAAGGAAAGTTGACTAGAGCTGGTAAAGAATCACCCGTGATTATCTCAGAAAAATCAACACCTGAATCCCATGGCTATTAAAAACCCAACACCGATACTTTTGAAAAAGGTTCTGAGCTACTTCGGGTTTTCTAAAGTCACCTATCATTCTTCTACAGATGTGGTTATATCTAGATCAAGTGTCCCCAAGGATTACAGTCTTCATGCAGAAAACTATGACAAACATAACAAAGCAATTAAGCAACAAAGCACCGATTTTTATTTTTCATTTCTTTAAGTACTTATTCATTGAGGGTGAACTGCACAACACTGAGAGCCCAATTGTGTACTAATGATCACTTGAATTTCTTCATGCATGTGCTTTGGATTGAAATTTAAGTTATGCCAGTCATGCTTTGATCTTGCTACTGGAATTCTCCCCTGAGACTATCTACTTACTGGCCTTTGCTGTTTATTGGACGTTGGATCCCTCACATAAATAGTTCGTTCAGTTTTACGTACTGGTTGATTCTTCAAATCTAGCCCATCTCCATGCAGATTCTCTTTCCTTTTTGATTTTATACATCCCATATTTCCTGTTGAAATAAAAAAGGTATTAAACAAAAAACATTATGCCATAAACCAAGCCGTTTCCCATGCAATCATCTAGGCTATGCAGCAAAAACTTGCTTCCTTTTCATACAGAATAGTCCACGGGGAGAACAACTGAAGGTTAGGAACACACACCGAAAGCTCTTTTCTGCTGCAAAGGAAAGAAATGACTTCTTGTCTCAATCCACACCTGAAGTACACATTTCAAAAATAGTTATTTACCATTTCAGTATTTTCAGATTTATCGTATTTTCTCCCCAATCGCCACCCCCCCACCCCCCAAATCCCTTACATCTTTCTGATACTTTTGTGAGCTTCAGAGTAGATATAAGAAAAATAGAATTGCTGTAGTGACAACTTATTTCTGTACGTTTTAGAGAACAGGCTGCTTTGGACGATGTAGAAAAAAAATCCAGTCCAAATGATGAGAACTGCAGCTGGATTCAGCAACCCCTGTATCTCCCCACTTCACTTTGCGTATGCCAGTCTAGCAGGGAGCTCTGTTTGATTCAAATCCCCGTCTCGCATGAGGCTGGTGACTTGTGAAGTCCCAGCTCCGTGGCAGATAATGCTGCTACTGTGACCTTCAGTAATGAATCTCCCTGTTCAAATGGGCCTGTCGCAGCGGTCTAAAATATCCGAGGTGTGTATCGGTGACGGCAAAACGCCGCACGAGTATTTCTTCTTCAGTACAATTTCGAAGGATAATCCTCCTCTCAGGATGTGCATCCATGCTCAATCACATGAGATACAGCTGTTAGCATCTACATGACTGGAACCTGACTGCTAATCCCATGATGTAATTACATAGTACTTCAGCAAGCACATATACGACATTAGCTGTATATTCTTCCCTCAGAGGAGAGAAATTATACTCACTCTTCAAAGAATCGACTACGAATGCTTTTCAAACCTCTCCTTCCTTCCTCTCTCCTTCCTTTCAGGTCAGTGCTCTAATGCTAGGTTCACAGTCACATTTTCCCTTGCAGACACACACTCTCACTCCCCCCCTGCCCTAATTAATCTTTAAAGCCAGTTCCTTGAAGAACAATGTAAAACCTAAAATAAGAGCTCGGTGCATATACGGGCTCAAGTAAACCAGCACTGACTAAAACACAGCTGGAGAAGCTAAAGTAGATTGTAACACCCTATACTACATCACACTCTTACCTTCATCTCTAGGATAGAAAAGGTCATCATAGTAAACAGTTTAAGCAGTAGAGGTGTCCACTTGCGGACACAACTGTTCCAATGGGACAATGCCTTACACACCCTACCCCTGTAGGTTGGAAAATTAGCCAGATTGGTCTGGGTTCATATTAAGACTCGTACGTTTGTAACAATACTGACAATAATCATAATCCTGACTGCAACAATAAACCAAGGCCACAAGTACTCCCTCACGGCAGGTCTCAACTTCCCACATCGCCTTCATTTAATCTCCTATCCTGACCTTGAGGAAGCACCACAGAATGACAGATGCACTGTCCTATCCACAGGCTGGATGTTTTCTTCCAACTGTGAGAGGAGGGTACCTCCTCACCCACCATTTCTGCAAATTGTGTGTCACCTATTGCCAACAAATCTTGGCTGTCCATAATATTTCAGCAGCGATGCAGTGAACTGTGATACTGGTTTAAAAGCATCATGAGAACTCATTGCTGCCCTTCTCGTCTTCTCTTGAAATAAAAATAAATGGAATTATATGGAAAATCAATAGGCACTGACCAGGCATCATCATCCTGCAGAGGCAGGGAATACAGTTTCCTCTTCTTGTGTGTCAATATTTCAGTGTTCCCATACTCGTTTGAAGGCACTGGGGGGCACCTTCAGCCAGGATCCTCCCTTAGAAGCAAACATCTTTAATGCTTAATTTCATTATGTGCAAACACCCATTGGAAGATTCTGCCAAATTCTCATCTTTACATGGGTTACATGCTAGTTGTTTTGAAATACTGAGAAGGATTTTTTCCTAAATTTTATTTATTTATTTATAATTGTGGATACATAGAAGACTCTTGTTTTGTAGTTAATGGTTCCTAGGAAATTTCTGTCCAGTCGCAGGCAAGCTAGTGTTTGCACGCTCACCCTAGACATCAGGAAGCCCAGTGTTTAATTACCCGCTGTATCTGCAAGATCAGGTATTGAGCCACCTAAGTGCTAACCTTTTTGCTCTTGAATAGTTCTGCTTCTACAGAACAAACAGCTAAAGTGGAGGACATAAGGTAATTTGATCTAAGTTGTCAGCCAAAAATCCCTTTCCCTATTGCTGTAAGAAAGCTGAAGTTATCTTTAGAGTCTGCAGCTTGCCCAGCATTGGTGTAAACTCGGAGAAAAGCATTTTATGCGGATTTTTTTCTGCAGCTTAAAGCACGTGAAGAGCTGTAACGTAAGCCTGCTGTGAGGTTGTGCCGGTAAGCTCAAGGTTAGCATTTGTTCCTGACGGTAACAACAAGGGATCCGTAACGCCAATGTGCAGGTGCTCTGTAGTCCCACAGAAGCCCTCTCGACGTCATGTGAAATCACACAGATACAGTATGTGAGAGAACACATGTGATGGCACCAAACAAAGAGAAGATCCTGAGCCTCATCATGAAGCACCGGTTCTTGTTTTATTTCCTGATGGAGATGAAAGCCCGGGACCACCACAGGACTTAACTAGGTCTACAGTAGAGACCAGCCCCAACAGCTGGTGCTGAAGCCCATACTGGCTTCAGGGGGGGGCGATTGCCCCGTTCACTCCAGTATAGCCCCAAGGACTGAATGTTCGGTAGGAGCAAGACCATAATAAGGGTTTATTTAAAGGTAAGCCTCACACTGCATCTTCCTACAGCAGTCCTGTTCTCGCACTCCGAGTCTGCTCCACAACATGAAGCACAGCCTCCAAAGTGGGGGCAACTGCTGCAGGAGTGGGATCCTGATCTAACTAAAATGCTGATGTAGACACCTCCTGAGACTTTTAGCTTCTTTGTAAAACAAGCCTCTCAAATCTTGCAAAGGAAACATATGAAAAACATGCAATAACATAAAATGAATGTTTAGCACATATATATCAATATAGTTAAGTTTATGATATATCACAGAATCACAGAATGGTTTAGGTTGGAAGGGACCTTAAAGCCCATCTAGTTCCAACCCCCCTGCCATGGGCAGGGACACCTCCCACTAGACCAGGTTGCTCAAAGCCCCATCCAGCCTGGCCTGGAACACATCCAGGGATGGAGCTTCCACAACTTCTCTGGGCAACTTAATATAATTTAATATTTATCTTTCTGACCTGATGTTATTTCTAAACAAGTATAGGCAGACATCGGAGACAAAGCATAAGCAAAGTTGAAAAATAGTTTTTAAGCAGTAGAAACTGGATCAATGAGCACATGTTCTTTTCATACTGTGAAATGAAAAATTTTTTGACTCTTTAAAGGCCACAAGATCTTATATTTCTGTACATGCTGTCTCTCTGTAAAGCTCGGTGCACTGGGTTCCAGACTGCGCATTTAAAATTCCATAAGATCAGTCCTATGCCCAAAGCAAACATAACTGTCTTGGTTTCAAAAGCTTCCGCTCAGTGACTGCTCAGTTCATCTGCAATGCCAGATTTATTTGTTTCCAGTACAGTATTACATATTTTTACTACAATCTGATCTGGGTCTTTCGCAGGGTTTTGAGAGCGGTATCACAGTAAAGATTCATGGGGCCAGCATAAACAGCAAGTACTGACGGCAGAGTTTCAATCAACACACATTGTAATGGATTTCAAAATACAAAATGCTATATCATTACCAAAGTTAACTTCACAAACATTCGACCCTAGCAAATTACCCATACAAAAAGAAACTCTGAAATACAAAATGTGTATGCAGTGTACATCTTTCTTACTTCATAGAGTAGTCATAAGGAAAATCTGAAGAGGGGAAGTTCATTCAGGCATAAATAAAATATTTCACTTGGTGTAAAATGTTTATTTGCATAGCTCTCTGTTGCCGTGTCACAATGAGTATCAAGGAAGCGTTTTGTGCAGGTATAAAGAGAAAAAGAATACGGTAAGCAAAGAGCAATCCAGACAGTGCAGCATCGCTACAAAAGAAACTATGTTATTGTTCGTCAGAGATAAAAATAATTTAGACATCAGAGGAAATACTGTCAGTCTCTTCTCGGGTGTTTCCCATTCCAACAGCTTTGCAATACAGAAGATACTACTTTTCATCCATGCTTTTCATTTATTGTCCTGTCCACACCTCTAGACATCAAAGATAAACATATAATTAGAAGAAACACTGTATAACATAGCTGCTAATGTTTATAAACAGTTATCTAAAAAAGTATCAGCTTCTCTTTTAACAAAGATCATCTTGTATTTCATGGCTAAAAGGCAAGCACAAGTACTTTTGAGTTAACATCTGCAGCATGGTGATAAGAATGTGAGTTCAGGCACTCTTCGAAAAGCCACAGGAATATCCGTAAGAACCATCACACAGAGCCTCTGCAGCAGTTTGTTCCACAGACACCGATTTTGATGTCTCCAGAGGCATTTGCCTTGAATTTTCCCTCTGAATCCCCTATTTCATCTTGCTACAGCCACACTTGGGTCTTAATTTCAGAACGGATTACAGGGGACTAGTGCGACATTTTTCCAGGATTAAAAGCTGCTGTCTGTCCCCAAAACACTGTTGCTTTATCTGCCTCTTGCTATATTACCAGCCAAGCAATGTGTCTAAAGCCGCAATACTTCCCACTGCGAGCAGCCAAGGTTCGTGTGACCGACGCCTGTCCATCCACCATCAGCAGCATTTGAGGTTTCATTTCCTCCCAGTGCTTATTCTTTGCATCATATAGATGCAAAGCCAATCTCATTTTTCGTTTTGCTCATGATCACTATTCTCCTCCCTGTGATTCTGTTACATACAATAGTTACGGTGCACATTAGTAACCATTTCCTAAAAATCCACCCAACATGTCTGGGATTTTCTTGATCGAAG